CCATGATGATTAGCTCCGTGACTCCTGTGTTCATTTTTCCTTCTCCCTCACTGCTGTGTCAGGTGTTACTGTCAGTGGACAAGGAGCCCATACGTACAGTTTAGTTTGGTTTAAGTGTAGTTTAGTTTAGTTGTACATACATGTACAAAAAGTACAGAAAAAAAAGAAATTAAATGTTAAAACATTGTGTAGGAGAGGTTAGAAGACAAAAATGGCTTATGAAGATATACCTCCCTTATTAAATTACAGCAATCATACATAAAAAGAAAAAGATAAAAGCAAATATTTCATAATAGTTACTTTTTTTTCAAGATAAAATGTTTGAAAAGTGGGAGTAAGTTTACAAGATAAAGTACACTGAGTGGTTAATGTTGCAGAATATATGCATCAACAGCAATTACAGAAACAAACTAGTTGGTGAACAGTTGAATTTAATTGATTTTTTAATCACATCTCTGAAAAATATGTCAAAACAGAAATTGAATAAAAACACCAATCAATTGCCCCAATCTTTGACAAATGTTAAGTTCATAAGTACAGAAACATTTCAGTAGACTTTAGCCTGCCTCACTATATATGAAATTAATTTGTTAACTTAAGTTCGGGAGCAGGGCGACACCTCAACCACACCCTTGATAACCTGTCAAGCCTACTTATACCTGGTCGACCCATCCTGCTCTGTTTGTCTCAGATTTCCCTTCCCTTCATCCATCATCCTCCCTACCTCATCACTACCAACATTCCTTCATCCGCTCTTCCCTTCTTCCATCATCTCTTCTTATTCAGTCTGGTGCATACCTCTCCCATGTCTCTTTCTAGGTATCGTCTGGGGGGCCTGTAATCAGCTTGGGTAGGAAAAATGCCTGAAGCGGACCCCCACACTGAGTCTCCAATTCATCCTCCCAGACCAACCTAACAGAAGACATCCCTCTTCCACCTTCACCCCTACTTACATCCATTTACCATCCCTCAACATCTAACACTTCCTGAATTACAATTAAACAGCTGGTGGTCCTTGCTAGTGAACTACCATTTGCTGTATGGAAAAACAAAATGTGAAAATGTGTTGCCACCCTTATGTGATAAGCCCAAAACAAGAGTCTACTCCATCACTGCTTTGAGCTGAATGCTTCTATCAGCATGCTCAAAATGACTGGCTGATATAAAGCAGGTGTAATCACAGAGGACAGCTGTGGCTGATGGGAATGTCTTTAGCTTTGCAGGTATTTAGTCATAAAGCAAATTACTGGACAAGTTAAAAATGTGAGCTGATGATTGTGCCAGTGGAAAAAAGTCCTGGACCACCAGAGTTATGAGGATACATTGTCTGGGAGCCATGGGTATAACATTTCATTGCAACCCATCCAACAGTTGTTAAGACGTTTAACTAAAAGCCAGAAGTGTCCTCATGAGGGGGCAAGAGATAAAGTCACAGGACTTCTTTCTCTTTCTGTCTGACTGTCTGCCTGTATGTGTGCCCAAAATTGCAATGCAATCCATCAGTTAGATGTTGCAAGATTTTACTGGATCATTGAAAACTTTAACTTAAATTAATTATTGTGGATTCATAGTCTGTGCACCATAAACATCTCATGGCAATCCATCAAATAGTTGTTGAAATATGTTGGTTAACTGACCGACCAACCAACATCCCAAAGACAGCATGAAGATTATTACTGTCGACAAACGACACAAAGATCAAACATCATCCAACCCTGAACATATTTTATTGTCCCATCATTGTCCTGTTCCTCTTCAGCACATCCAGTTACAGCCTCAAGGAAGTTTTGGGGCCAATGGGATGCAGCCAAAGAGGTGTCTCTCTTTCAGAGAAGCATAGAAAGTAGAATAGGTCAGATATTTGATCTCACTAACAATAAATCTGTACTTGTATATAAATCAAAAAGACAAGCCAGTTAGGACAGGGGGTCACTGCCCGAAGCTGCACAGACTGATCATGGTCAGAGTTCTGTGTGTCCAGTTTTAAATATTTCCATACAAAATCTTTCTTGCCCTGATTTCACAAGAACTTTCTGCCTCTGAGTGAGTCATCTTATGGGGGAATTATTCCTTGTGCAACACATCTTCCTCTCTTCTCCCGTTAAGCTACGGCTGAATCAAGCCAAGGTTTTTCAAACGACTCATGAAAACTCATGATCTTGTGCGTTTCTTCCAGCTGACGAGTTTCCTGTCTTTTATTGTGGGACCTAAAGCACGAAAAAATTATTATCTTCATATCAGTGTTGTCCTTCATGATCTGGATCAAAGTCTGTAATTCTTCCTATTGTTATTCCATCTGAATTTTTATCCTCCGTGAAGAAAAATAAATGCAGTGTTCTTAAACATTTGTCTTCATTCATGTCAAAGATATATCAGAAGGATTTTGCATTAGGCATTATGTAACATTTGTGAACAATAAAGAGCAGGAAAATGTATTAATGGATACATCTTGCAAACAAATCAAATGAAAAAAACAAACCCAACAAAGAGCTTGTCTGAGAAAACTGTCTTTGTTTTTTGGAAGACCGAAAGAACAGCTGAGGACTGCAGTTTTTAGAGAAGGTTATTCAAAGAGGAGTGAATGAGTAGTGCATTTGTTGAGGACTATGTTAAGGAAGTATTTAGGATAAGGTAAGTCTTTATGGATCCCTCAGGGGAAAATCCAGTAAACAATAATTACAATTTAGAAAAAAACATGTTAAGAGTTCACTATAGCAAAAAAAAAAAAAAAAAAAAAAAAAACACTAGGAAAAAGTACAATTTTATCGTCCACAGAGATGGAAAATTGTCTTTGACCGATCCCTCACTTCCTTAATATGTCAAAACATACAAAATCCACATAAGAACAACACTGATAGTAGGAATACTCCAAATAGTAAAACACAATACACACCATTTGAGATTTAAAGAAGTATTTCACTGCTGGAGAGACAGTTTTTTTCTTAAAACTAGGCTGTTAATGCAGTAGAAATACACAAATTGGTGCAATATGACCAGAGAAATCAAAGGAAAGGGGCAGTGGCAGTGCTAAAATTGCTTAAGCGGTAGAAAACCTACAACTACCAGAATGCACTGCATCACACAAATGCTCCCACAGGTAGGTGGCGTAATGCAAGCTGGTACATTTGTACAGTAAGCTAAAATATGTCTCTAAAAACATTTTCGGCAAGAAAAAGGTAACACAGTGACAGTTTGATCTCAGTTTTTTCAGCCTCCATTTTTACAATACAGGAAACAGTACAGCACCTGCTTCTTGTTCACAGCTTCTTACATTACAGCCAAACAGTGCACTAAAATATGTCTCTGAAGACATTTTAGTTGAGAAATAGGGAACACAGTAACAGAATCTTGGTTTACATTTGATCAACACTGCCTAGTTTTACAGTTTGATCTGAGTTCAGGCTGTGAGACAGAGAGAGGGGCGCAGCTTTCTCCCTTTGATCCGCTTTTATACTCTTTATGTCAGTGGTGGCGGCTGATGAAAATGCACAAGTACAGTCTGTAGTTTCAGTAACAGCCCTAAAACTTTGTCTAGGCCAAGGAGCATAGAAAAAATTGAGCTGAGAGATGAGCTGGGAGATCTGGGCATAGATATCATATACAGTAGATACCTGACGGCTTCGGCCCGTTTCAGTGATGCGTTCGCTTGCTGCTGTGCCAGTCCAAAATATTACAGCAAAGCAGAAAAACCCGACAGCACTCACTAATAAGTATAATACTTTTTAATATAGTGGATTGCACAGCAGCAGTCGAACGGATGCGTTTCAGCTCATAGCCGTCCTCAGCATTAGGAAATGGCCACTTCAGAATGAAAATACAGACAGTACTTAGGCTACTGACCCTCATGCCGACAAGAAGTCCAGTGTAGTTTTTAATCCACAAAACTCGTTCGGGGTATCGGAGGATAACAGCTACACTTGAAATGCACTGAACCCACATTTTGAAAATGTATTAAAACTCCGCTAATGCGTTTCAAAAACGTCAGAACGGCTTGTCCGTCGTAATCCAAGTGCCCTGAAGCCATGGCATGCAAAACTGACTTGAAAAGACATAATTTACTCCACTTTGATAGCATCATTTCTCACTGTGGTCAGTTAGCCTATCCCGCAGGCTGCTGTGTTTACATGGCAACTCATGCGAGACTCGAGAACTAGCACCACCATTAGCTATCAGCTAGTCTCCCGTGAGTTGCCATGTAAACACAGCACTCCTAGCTGTTATCCTCCGATACCCCGAACGAGTTTTGTGGATTAAAAACTACACTGGACTTCTTGTCGGCATGAGGGTCAGTAAGTACTGTCTGTATTTTCATTCTAAAGTGGCCATTTCCTAACGCTGAGGACGGCTATGAGCTGAAACGCGTCCGTTCGACTGCTGCTGTGCAATCCGCTATATTAAAAAGTATTATACTTTTTAGTGAGTGCTGTTGGGTTTTTCTACTGCTGTAATTTTTTGGACCGGCACCCAATTACAATTTGAGACATTTGAGTGAGCACGCTGAGTTTGCTGAAGACGGCAGTGACCTCCCCAAGATGGCGGTGACCTCCCCAAGATGGCGGCGACCTTGATGCACAGTAGCCTCAGGAATGAGTCATCTATGATTATATATATATCTATGGATCTGGGCAGTGGTAAGATGGAGGGGGCTTAATTATAGGTCATTTGACACAAACTAAATTTTAATGATACAAAGCTGGTTGACAATTGGCAAAGTATCCCTTTAAGAAGAACACCTTAATCTGTGCTGTCACATCAGACCCCTGGTGCTTCTCAAAGTCAAGGAGGGATCCTTAAATGTATGAATTTCAAGGAGGTTATGTCATTGAATGCCACCAAAGAACTTTTGATTCCTGTTCCAATCTTTGAGGAGCACTGCCTGTTGTTCCCCTCCTGGCCAGCAGTCCTCAGTCACCTGATCTCTACCTGTCTGCACACCTGCTGCTCATTCCCCCTAATCAGCCTCTCAGTATATATACCTGCCCACCAGCACTGGGCCTCTGTTTGTCAGTCTGTCGTCATCTCTCCTTCCCTGCACAGTTTTTGGATTTGTTTGCCTCTGCTGACTGCCTGCCATGCTGCTGACTTCTGCCTTGAATCCAGTAAACCTCACTTTATTTCTTCCTGCCCTGTTGTTTAGTCTTGAGTCCAAACATCAGCTGAAACAGTAATGTAAAAGTACATAAACAGACATGAGAACAGACTAAGCTACAACATCACTGTGTTATTTGTAGAGCAGGGGCTGTGGGGGGAAGTGGGATTTGTGAGACTTGTTCAGCAGATCAGTTTTCAGATGTGCTACTAGATTTGCTGAACAAACACTTTGTTTTGAAACTGAGACGTGATTTAAGGCCTTTGTTATAAAGAGTGCACATGAGTAAATTTAGAGTTAAAACAATGTGGGGACTAAAGGGGTTTTGGAGGTAAAATGTTCTGTTTGTTCTCCCCTAGCTCAAATCTCCTCCTCTTCCAGATCTTTCGTACCGGGGTCTCCAGAGGTCTCCAAAACACTGTCCAAGAGGAAAATGGACTACCTCCTTGAGTGCACATCATCAGTCTTCCAGGTCAGCTACACATGTTTCTAATCTAGCCCCTAATTCTGCATGTCTTCATGCTTTACTGAGCTGGAGCCGGCCAGAAAACATGAAGGAGGTGCCATAACCTTTACATGTGCTCTCCATAATGTGTCAGCAGAAAAACACATGTCCTCTCTCCCCCTGCTTGTAGCCAGGTTAATGTGCAGAATCTTTACAGCCGTGTAAGTGGACATAGGTTTGCACTTTGGTCATGTTTGATAATGATAATGGGTTTAGTGTTACATTATACAGGAGTTTTCTTTCTCTTGATTTTCTCTGTGACTAAGAATCGTTAAGTTGATTGTCAGAGATTTGTTAGATAAGCAGTGTTTATTTTCTGCACAAATGCAAAACTGGTCATGTGTAAGATAAACCTACTTTCTCCATCCAAAACACTACCACAGTTGTGTCACTGGTGATGTCATGATCTAATTGTGGTTTATCATCTTACCCTCCAAGTAACTTCATACATTTGGTAACTCGCTGGTGAACACAGTGGAGCATTTAGCTGCTTAAGAGCCAGATATTTCTCTCGGGACTTAATAGTGGAAATACAGTCACCAGGTGGACACAAACACGACCACAGATAAATGGTAATGTTGCTCTAGAACTGCCAAAGTTTGCCGAATCAGTTTCAAAGTTGTATTGACACCTTATGTCTATTGATCTCTAGTGGCTTAAAAACAATTAGTAGGTTAAAGATAAAATGTATTACTGTTCGAGATTTTTTTTGTAGTTTAACCTCCTTTACTGGTGTTTATCAGAATGATCGAAGCCAGCAGATATGCCAGATCTGGGGCTGCCCCCGTTTGAGAATATTCCTAGTCGACCAGTAGTCGTCATTTAAGGGCCATTACTCGACTAGTCGCCCGCATGTTTATTATGTTAATTTAGTTATTAAATGATATATTTTGGGCGGGGCAACACAATGGTTTGAGTTGAAGGTGTGAGAAAGAATAGTATCAGTAACATTGTTAACACTGTGCTACATTACAGAGAAATACAAAACCGTACTAATGAACCTTCATTAATATAGGCCTATATTTTATCTACAAGTGCACGTCACACACTGAGCGAGCCGCCTGTTAATGACGCTGTCGGCAAAGCAGTAATGATTGTGCTAAGTGGCTAATGGGCATGTAGCTACTTCCATGTTTCAGATGATACGTCATGTTTGTAGTCGACCAATGAAGATGAGTTTACATATCACCTTGGGTTCGTCCTTCACCTTCTCAAAATGATCCCACACTTTGGATTTCCTGCCCGACATGTTATTAACTAGCCTGTGGAATAACCGCAGGTACCAGCCCTGGAAATTAGGGTCTGTACACATGCCACGTCTTTAACCACCTGGAAAACTGGGCGCTTCTCGTGTGCCTTTTTTGTACCAGCTTTCAGGAGTGCGGCGGCAGGTTGCGTCTGAGGTTGCTAGGCAACCTTAACAAGCATTGTATAGCCTATGTGCCTGAAATCCTGAGTGCAGAGCTGATCTTCTTACAGAAGCTGTTTATCAGTGTGTAGGCCTATCGTCCGTGGGACAGATGTAAAGTCCCACATGGTCCAGTCATATAGATTTTGATTTATTCTGACAAGGCGCAGCTCCTAATAGAGTTTCATGTTTGTTTTTGTTTTTTTCTGCGACTAAGCGACCAATGAAATCTTGCCGACTAATGACTGACGTTTGGTCGACTATTAGCGGGCAGCCCTAGCTGGATCCACAGCTAAACTATAGCAGCAAGAGCGGCATAAACTTCACCACAACCACATGGCTCATACAAACACAGACAAGCCAAGGGAGACTGATGAGCCAGAGAACTGAACGTCATTCGGACTTACATAAAATCATTTTGTGAACATAACTGTCCATGCAGGCAATTACTTGTCAACAAGAAAAGCAGCCGTGGCTTTTGCCCTGTAGGCTGACATTGATTTTGTTTTGTCAGCTGACAGTTACATGGTTGCTGCCACTGGCTGACAGATTACACTCCATTTACACAGCTTTTCCAGCCCTCGCCGTTATGTGTTGAGCAATGCACCGGCACACTGAAATGGAGTGGACCCACCTTCACCTATGGCCTAAAGTTTATAATGTCCTAGTTATGTTGAGTACCACGCAAATATAAATACATGTTTGATGTGTTTTTTAGAAGGCTTGCACAGGCAGCTGTGGTGATGAATTCAAATCTCCACAGCCATAACGTCACTAAAACACAACATCTAACCTGAAATATTTTAATCATCAGATGTCAAACAACAGTCTGTTTGGCCTGTTTGTGTCGCAGACTTCCTCTGTGGTTTATCGACTCATACTTTAAATACACAGCTCTCTCCGGGACACAGTGTCCCATCTTTAATCTGCAACATTACCTCCACTGAGACAGGAACACAACCAATTTTATTTTATTGGCTTTGACTGTGAGTAATACAGCCCAGTCTAATAAAAAGATGTTGAAATCACAACCAAACATATTTGATAGGCTGTGTTCTAAACTTAAGTATTACTTTAATCCAGAGCACTGATAGTGGATACAAACTTGACATTATCCTTAATGTGCTGTTGTCAAGTGAAAATACTTATGTTACTGTCTTACTATATCTTACTACATAATGACGAAAACTCTGTCTGTGGGTGTGTGCGTGTGTCTGTTCCACGTTTTTCTCCTCACTGACTTGGTCAATCCATGTGACCACGCAACTTTGTAGGCATATGACCACACATAATCTGAGGGGACCCCTCCATTATTGACCTGATCAAACAACATGGGGGCGCTAGAGAGCTAATTTCTTATCTAGGCCTAACCGCCATATGGATTTTTACTAAACTTGGTAGATATGTAGAACAGGACGCCTCAAGGTGACTGGAGAAATTTAACTCTAATTGGCAACTGGGTGGCACTATAACAACAGAAAAATGGCTAAAATGCGACTGATCGCTGTGGCTCCCACTGTGGCCCAATTTTGTTGTTTTTTTTTTCTAATTTTCGGTATGACTAAGTCATGGTATGGTATGCTGCTGCAACAAGGGCTAGCCACACCCTTCCCATGTGAACTACCAGTGCTCCCCACTTTTAAGTCAATACAACATATAAACACTTTAACTATCTGCCTTTCAACGTGCTACCTCAACTACTAATGTACAGTTTTAGCCCACTAACTATCCCACTATTGGCAATGGTACTACTGTACTTTCAATAAAGCAGTCGTACTGTCAAATTCACAAAAACTCAGTCTGAATACATTGCTCTTCTTAATGGGTTCAGTTGACTATTTAATCTGCAATTTCCTATGACCTGTATCCCAAACACACACCATGTGAAACTGTACGTGGGCAACTGTGTACTCAATGGGTATGGACTAGTTACTATAAATGAAAGGATGTGTAAGCGTTTTGTAGATCTGAAATGATTAGTTGATCAGTGATCATTTACTTTAAAGAAATGTGAAGCTTCAGGAGTCTGAGTAGGGCAAAGCAAGTGGGTACATTTTCAGTCGTTTCAGTGTGAAAAGAGAAACACAAAGGGGGAATTTCATACTTCACTTGATTGTCTAACAGCTCATAAACATGCCACATCTTTTACTGGCTGAAAAAGACGAGGTCAGACACTGGGTGCTACTTGTGCCAGTGCAGAGGCAGGTTGCACCCTCTGTTGCTAAGTGGTCGTAACAGCAGAAAGACTAACCTTGGGGCTGATGGTCCGCCAGGTGTTGTTTTTTAAGTTTGCATTCAAGTATTGTTCGTCACATGTCACATGATGTGATGCAGGTGAATCTCAGGGTGCAGCCGTCAGTCACTCTCACTTTTGAGCACGACTTTCACTCCTCTACACTGACAACAATGGATTTGCGGGTACAAAAACGAAGCATGTTTCAAGGCCTTTTCTCAGACTGCTGAAGCCTCATATTAGCTTTAGGTGATCTGCGAATTTTGTGCAACTGATAACTCTTTTAAATGTATAAATGGTCATGTGAGCACTATTTAAAAAAAAGCGAACCTATCCTTTAACATGTAGAGCTGCAGAGCAGAAACACAAAGGGCATACAGTGTACTGGTGACTGCTGGTTAAACAGGGAAGACTCTTGTAGATGAGACAGAGACTGAGCTTTGTGAAATATTTCCAGGACAGAGAGGAGACGGAGGTTAGGCAGAGAGCACTCCGGGGGGGTGGTGTTGGTCCCTTTAATGACTCTACCAGTGAAAGTATGCAGAGCAACTTCTGCTACTGTCATTAGGGGCCCGACATCACACAGAGGGAGAGAGAGAGCACTCCACTTCCTTTAGGTGAGTTCAGGGGGAGGAAAGAGTCATTCAGATTCAAGGAAATTGTTAAGACATTTAGAAGTCAACACGTTTGACTTTTGGGGAAGGACGTCATTTTTCAGTGTGCAAGAATTACATCTCTGATGAAAACAGACCTCCTCTATCACCAGGAGAGGTTTTCTCATTGAAAATAAAAATGAGTTTGGAACGCAGAGCGCCCCATGAGAAAAATCTCAAGGGCTACATTGCAACACTGGCAGATTGTTGTTAAGGTTTCACTTAGATACCGTCGTTCATCATTTACTGACTACAACATATTGGCACTGTCAGGTTTAAACCTATTAACGATTACTTTTAATCAGTAGTTGATTGCAGAGGTGGAAGACGTACTCAGATCCTTCAGTAAAAGTAGCAATACCACATTGTAGAAGTACTCTGTTACAAGTGGAAAAGAACTATAAGTGGAAGTATTCATTGAAACCCATTACACATTACAGATGCATGTTCTTAGATTAGAAGCTATCCAATTTATCCCTAGCCCCCATGATACCTTGCACGAATTATGTGTGCACCTTCTGGTGTTGAACCGAAACCAGCGATCTCAAAGCATTGTCTTTTTTTTTACTTTTCAACCTAGTATACCTGATGCCTGATGATTTATGATTCATGATGACTTGTTAAGAGTCACTAACACATTCAGCAAACATTTAACATAATTCAGTATTAACTGTAGCGCCATGTAAAGCGAATAAATGTGATGTTTCCCAGCTAATCCTCTGCTCGTCTGCGTTAACGACGCAGTTTACACATTTTTTTAACTTCTGATTTATGAAAAACTTTTCTGAGGGAAACATGAAGCTGAATTTAGCAGCAGACTTCAGTAATAGTAATATAAATTAGTAGAAAAAAGAATATGATAGAAAGGAAGTTTGGTAAATCAGTAACACATTTTCAACCCTACTAACTTAATACATATTTTTAAGGTATGTTGCTGAGTTTATTTTATAACGAGTGATTTTCTAATGTAGGTTGAGAATGAAGTCAGACGGGGAAAGACAGGGATATCATGTACTGACGTGTGACGGACCTGTCAGTCTAGGTGTCATTCTCTTCTGCTAATTCTGATTTAATACTATTTCACTATGTCTCGTGAAACGCTTGTGTTTTAATTTCTCATATCAACGGTACCTTTGGCAACAGGAACAATCCCTTTTTGTTCTGGTTACAGATTCAACACACAGTTGCTGAAGACAAAAATTTAGCTTTGACTGGTTGTTAGTCGTTACAGACACTGACAGTGCAACAGGTACCACAGCTCCGCAAAGACATTTTAGAAAATGATGAGTTAACATTATTAAATATTTGTTAAAAAAATAAATTAGTATTTGCTAAACTGAAGGTAAATTACTTTCGAAAAGAACCAGCATTGGCGGTTAGCCACCAAGAGTAGCTGCCGGGACTAACCACAGACGGGTCCATGTCATTGGTCCGACAGCCCATTGGTCCGACATCCCATGAGTCTGACGTTCCGCTTTTTCATTTTAACCCACACGATGATCTTTTCCTGACCCTAACCAAGTGGTTTTTGTGCCTAAACCTAACCAGACCTTAACCACAGGGCATCATGATGATTTCAGAACAACGGGACTTCAGAACAATGGGTTTAATATGGTCGGAACAGTGGGATGTCGAACCAATGGGCAGTTTCCGCACAGACAGTCTATGGGACTAACTAGCTTACTGCTACTTCCACTATCTGACAGGAAGTTGCACACATAATCATTTCTACATTAGTGCCCTCAGGAATAAGGTGGATATGGAGTTAAAACTGTTGCTTGCATCATGTATTTGGATAATTGCAGGTCAAAGAATTTAATTAAAACCCTGAAACTTTTACAGTTATCTTAGTAAATTGTCATGAGACATCTTAATGCGACCTATTCTGCATTCTGGCTCCAGCAGACGTCAGTCGGTGTAGTCACATCTTGTTGTGGCTGTAGTTCAGCAAACTGCCTCTGTTTCTGGTTTTACAGCCTCTCTCCGGCGATTGACTTAGCTTGTTAGCTGATTGTTAGCGTGTCAGGTCAAGATGTTGTTTTTATTTTTTGTTTTTATTCTGAGCTCACACAACAATGGTGTGTAGCCACCAGTAAGAACCTACTGTATATCTTTATTATCATGAAGGATCGTGGCCCGCCTCCCCGGTTAATGTGATTGGCAGGTGTCCTCCACATGTGATAAAACACTCTGCTGTGTCAACCACAAACATTACAGGAATTTAAAGGTACAGTGTGTAGGTTTTAGGGGCATCTGTTGGCAGTGGTATATAACATGCATAACTATGTTTGAGTTCTTACCTGAAAATAAGGATCATGTTTTTGTTTACCGATGATGACAGATGCTGCCAGAGGTTGAGCTTGATGACAGACAAACCGTTAACATGTCACAGTGCAGCTTATTTAAAGCATAGCCAAAATAGGAAACTAATAAAAATCTCTTTCATAAAATCTTCCATCTTTGATGTAATTCCACAGACTTCGCCCAGCGTCATTTACCTGTCTGGATCCAGGGTGTTAGAAAGTAGGCCGTGTCCTCTCCTGTCGCTCTGGCAACCAAACGTTTTGTGTTTGCGTGTCCGATCTCTCACTTCTCTCACTTTCCTGTCCTCACATCATCATCACCCACCACCTCCGTCCTCCTTCTCTAAACAAAGACATAAAGTCCTTTGAGGAGCAGAAACATGCCATAGAGTCGTCCTCATTGAACGGCTCGTAAATATTAGAAAAATTTGCTGCTGTCGAAAGCTGCTGTCCTCTCTGGCTGGAAGTGATGAGACACGTAAAGAATCTGACATCTGGAGTTTATGCGGCGTAAGCTGGTGGATGAACGTATGATCTATGTTAATATTGGCCATATTGATGTATTTCACAAAGAATTCACTTGATGTAGAATAAAAATCTGAGGACAGTACACGCCGCTGTGCAGTTCAGATATCAGGACCAAAGTCTGCCAAACTCACTCGACCATGTTAATGAAAACATTTGCATTCCACACAAGCATGTAATATGAATACAGCAGCATATGTGAGTGTTTTTCCATCAGTTTGTCTTCTGGTGTAGTGAAAAAAACTGAACTGAGGATTTAGTATGTGATTTCCCTGGAGCATTGCTTTGGCCCTTCCTTAACTGCCTCCTGATATTACCACTTAAACACAGTAATTGGTAGACGGTAAACATGAAGTAAGGTTGTGCTTGTTAAACAAAATTGTTTTTCCTCTGAGGACGACACTGTCTCCATGCACTACAAGTATGATGTACTTTATGTAACCTTTGCTGCAGACACCAGTCATTTGTCCCCTCACCTGTCCTGGAAGTTGAAGAAGACTGGAAAGACTGAGGACCAGGACCAGGACCATGGTGTGTTCCTCCTCTGTTAGTCCTTCTTTGCCTTGTAATTAACAGGGTGAGGTCAGCTAATGAATGCTGTGTGGAAAAACAACAGACACTGACGACTTGACAGGATCTCTGACAGACATGACTGATACAAGTGTACTTTTAGAATCTGCTGCACCCCTTCTTCTCTCTGTCTCCCTCAGTGTTGGAATGTAACTAAGTACATTTATTTAAATACTGCACTTAAGTGCACTTGTAGGTACTTGTACTTTACTTGAGTGCTTCCAATTTATGCTACTTAATGGCAGCACAGCAGTGCAGTGGTTAGCATTTTCGTCTTACAGGAAGAAGGTTCGTTGTTCAAACCTGGGGTGGGGGAGCCCTTCTGTGCGGAGTTTGCATGTTCTCCCCGTGTCAGAGTGGGTTTTCTGCGGGTACTCCAGCTTTCCTCCCACAGTTCAAAGACATGCAGGTTAATTGGTGACTCTAAATTGGCTGTAGGTGTGAATGTGAGCGTGAATGGTTGTCTGCGACCCCACCACTCACCCAATGTCAGCTGGGATAGGTTCCAGCCCTCCCACGACCCCAAACAGGATAAGTGGTTACAGAAAATGAATGCAACTTTATACATCTAGTCCTACTCCAAAACATTTTGGAGGCCATTGTCATGTTTTTTGCTCCACTACATTTATTTCAGAGCTTTAGTTACGACATAATTTTAAGATTAAGATTATTAATACAAAATATACATCAGCTAATATAATAGTTAATAATAATAATAATAATAATAATAATGATAATGATGATGATGTATTACAAAGTCCCGTCCCGTCCCGTCCCGTCACACAGATCCAAATGAAAACAGTATCGTTGTGTTCCAGTGTGTGATTATACATTGTATCATGGCGTTGCCAAATCAAAAGAGGCATGATGGGTGTAACATGTAACACATCAGCGTCATCAGTATATAACATACATGTCAGCAACTCATTATAAACAACAAAAATGGCAATAATGTGTCAATAACAACCATTTACCATCCCTGTTGTGTGGCGGCTGATCTCTTCCTCTGACCTCATTGTTTTCCCAATTTGCAGACATGTACAACCACTGTTCTTCTACTTTGAGTTAGCCGCTAATTGCTAACAGCTACTTTTTGAGTGTTTTTACCAGTTTAAATCATGATTCAGCTCCCAGTAAAAACCTCTTGGATGTCTGGATCTTAAATTATCAGAGAAAAGAAGGTGAGCAGTCATTAGCAGGTGCTGGGCTAGCAGGGAGTTCAGGCTTTGCACATGACAGAAGTTTCAGCTGGTTGAGGTCTGAAATCCTCAGCACTAGATGCCAATAAATCCCACACACCGCTCCTTTAAGTATAATTTGAGACCAGTATTTTTGTACTTTTGCTTAAGTAAGAGTTGAAATGCAGCGTGGAGTATTTTTACATTGAGGTATTGCTACTTTTACTTCAGTAAAAGAGATGAATACTTCTTCCTTCACGCCTCTTTCTCTAGAATACACTGACCTAATAAAACAAAACACTGGGAACTCACAGGATTAAAACACTCAAGTATTTTGTTATAGTGTCCAACACTTTCCCAAAATCCCCAAACAATCCAGATGACTGTTGATTTTTTTTTTTTTTTTTAAACTTCAATGTGAACTATGTCAAGTTTCAGCTACCCCACCCTCACTCCTGTGGCTCATGGTATCTTCAGGAACATTTAGCAGTAAGCTGTAAACTGTACAAACTGTACCTGCAGTATGCAAAGTGTACCTGGAGTCAGTATTCAGTATGTTGGTAATGCTTTAGAAACAGAGAGGTTGTCTGCCTGTTTTCCGAAAGCTACCTGCTGCGGCAGATACTCACTGACACTCCTCTCCACAGATATTTTAACAAAACAATGAAGGCCCCATAGAAAATATTATAGAAAACCTGTTGTGCATGTTATTTTTCCCAAAGTAGAGCTTTTCTGCTATTAATCATTTAAAACTGCAGATATTAATGTAAACTCAGGTGTCCACTGTGCAGCTATGGAGGGAAAAAAATATGTGAATAAATCAGACACATTATGGGCAAATATTCAATATTAAAGAATTAGCAGCAAAAATGGGATGTGGACAGCCGTACTTTTGTCTGTTACAGGACAGACATGCAGTAACAGTTTACAGGGGTGTGGCACATACTGGTAATTATTCAGCCTAAAATGATCTGACTTTGTAGGAATGTTTGCAGAGGTGATCATTTTGTTTGAGGTTTAGTTTTACTGAGTTATGTATGTTCACTAAAACACTCTTAGATAGCAGACAAACCAGTGCTGGGAAGTCACTGTAACTATAACTTACTCAGGAAAACAAATGTAATTAAATTAGAGTTACCAATCATAAGAATATGGTGACAGAGACATGTGCTTGTTTTTCTTGAGAGGCCACTATGTTTGTATAGTTGTTTCATTGTGGATTTTTGTATTATATATATTATATGTTGTATTTGTTGCATTTTAATGTGTTTGTAAAAGAGATTTTCAATCTCAATGGGACTTCCTGGTTAAAATAAAGGTTCAATAAAAATAAGAATAACAGGGTAACTAGTGATCTGTAACCTACTGCATTTCAAAAGTAACCCTCCCAACACTGATAGTGACACTGACTTTAATTTATGCTGCCACAATGTGTCTTCTCTATAATCTCTCACTTATTTATCTGTTTATACTGACAAGATTAAATTGTTATAAACTCCCAATCTGTCTGTCTGTTGACACTGAAACACCACAGCAGCTTGTACACACTTACATAATGAGGCTAAGTGAGGTTTTGTGGGTTTGTGGCGGTGGTTACTTAAATCAGTGTCAGATTTCCTCTGTGTGATTGCAGACATGGAGAATGGCCTCTAATCATAGACAAATGTTGGTGGTCTAGTAACATTACATAACAAGGTATGGAAACACAGTCAGATGCCTGTAAGACAACACATATACAATATATACATATATTTATAACCAGAAGTTGTGATTTTTATGCCACAAATGTAAACATGCCCAACATTTCTAAAATATGTCACATTACAGCAAGAAAAATGTAAAGATTCACTTAAAGTAAATGAGCAGAGCAAAGTCATAGTATGACATAACGGACTGCCTGTTTTTTTAATCAGGCTGTACATTCTTCATGCACAGGAGAGCATAAGGGGGTGTCGATTTATTAACACCAGCATTTGTTACTCAGGCCCCCTGACAGTCCTTTTTTTATACGGAGCACCATCTACCATCAGGTGTCACGGTCGCACAATTGAAGGTGACAAATTCTAAGAATAATAGAGTAATCAAAAGACACTTTGGCACACTGCCGAGAGAGGAGGAGGGAGGGGTGCTGGAGGCAGAGCGGTATAAAAGAGACAGTGAAGGAGTGAGTTGAGCCAGAGTGAAGAAAAGAGGAGGGGGAGAGAGATGTGAGAGAGAGAGAAATATAAAGGAAGAAAAAAGAGGGAAAGAGTAAAGGACATTCTTATACAGAAAGAACCAGGACAGTGAACTCAACACAAAGGTAAGAAAGAAACAGATTAATGTGCTGGCAGGGTACTTTAAATTTTGTAGGCAATTGGATGCTTGTTATGGATGTAATTAAAAGTGTAATCAGAAAAAAGGTTCTTTGATTTGGTGGTTTAAGATTAAAATAAGTTACAAGTGAAGAGTTCATTTAAATTTCAGAGCCTGTATCATTTGTCATGTGTCATTTGTGATTTGAATATCATCCACCAGACATGAGTCTTTACATCAGATCACTTGCTTTTCTGCTAATAGCTTTTATTGTAATTGCTGCACTCTCATATATTGCCTGTAACCTGCCAGGTATTTATTTTATCAATATAATTTGTGTTAATTCAACTTAAAAGCAAAGGTGACAAATTAGTCTGTCATGTATGATTTTTTTTCTTTTTTTACCTAAAGTGCACAAATGCAAACCGTGTGTGTGTGCGTGGGTGTTTGGACTGTGTAGCCAGTGTTTCGTCAGTGGATGCGGAAATGTTTGAGCGTTCCAGTGACAAATGGTGATGGCTAACACAGATGTGTAATCTGAGTGGGGGGTTTCAGTCCGGCCATGTTTTTCACCCTAAAGGAGAAAGATGATGGAATCTGTTCTTAAAGACACATTGTTGTTTGAGATGTGAACTATTGTTTTATTTTGTAAAGTTAAAACACTTAAACTGAAATTATTTATTTTTTAGAAATACTCTGACTTATATCTTCAGGTATCTATAGGAATGTATTTTGTTAAATGCAACATTGAAGATTTGTTTTTCACCATTTTCTGTCTTTATTTTTCCAGCAGTGAGGCTCTGCTGCTGGACTCTATCTTCTTTGGAGTTCCTGGTGTGAAACGCACATTAGGAGAGGTGAAAGTTCAGGGGTCAGGCGTAGCGGCAGCGTGTGAGAATGTCGGTGAAGCCTCTTCTTCTTCTCCTCCTGGGAATCACTGCAGCCACAGTTGTCACAGCTCAAGGTGGGTCAATCACCAATATTCAGTGTTGTTTCTGGCACATAGGTAGTGAAAAACACAGCACACTCCCTACAAACACACACACATCTTGGGACACTTGCAGATGTAAACACATCAAAATGGCACACAGTTGTGCCTTGGAATACAAGGTTGGAGAATAATGAGAGAGGCAGGCTGATAAAATAATGCACAGTCCAAGGAATGTTGAATGTTAATGTGTTTTAGTTGTCTTTTTTAGAAAAACACTTGGCCTGCAGCTGGAAAGTATGTTTCTCTTTGCAGCTCCTTGTGGGCAGCCATGTGTTATAGATCAGTTATCCCCTGCTGTAATCTTTCCTGAGTAGTTTTCTCAATCAATCAGTTGGTCAACATTTATGCTCAGAACTGACAGAAAGTCTGTATAAGGCAGCTAAAAATTAATTACACTTTGCAGATTTTACAGATGCACATAACTGCTCAACTGCAATTACTATTATTCTCCTCCCTAAAGCATCAAAATGTCTTATGTGACAGAGACCTATTATCATTTGTCCACCAGAGAGCACTAGTACGTATCTTAGTTACAACCCTTTAAAAAAATGACCTATCAACTGATGTATCAATATCAGATTTTTTAAATTCCCAGGTATCTATATCAGTGTCTAAAAAATACACTATCACTCTGTTATATTTGTAGGTTTTTGGAGACCCTGAACACAACCTGAGTCTACATACATGACATAGTTAATATATGAGCAAATTGTAATGTGAAAAGTACCTGCAAACAAGACTTAAAGGAATACTTCACTCAACAAAAAGGACCATTTGTAGATCAATTAGTCATGCCGTGTTACCTTGAATTTATATTAAAAAAATTGTTTTTCTCACGTACCCTCCCGGCAAATGGCAAATATATTGATTTAGTGATTGATTGGAGTCCACATTTAACACCAGCAGAACTTATATCAAAACATCTGTTTTCAAACTCTCACACAACTCTGGCAGTATAATCCAAGTCACATTTATTCAGTCATATGTTCAGTACTTCCTGAACAGATGCATTTTCACAAAAAAAAAACCCAACTTATTGGATTACTGAAGTCTGGCTTTAAAGAGAGAGCAGAAAAGATTTTCTTTCAGCTCAGTTTTAAATGGTACGGTTTTAGTGAAAATACATGTGTTTGGTAAGTACGGAGCATATTACTGGATCACTGAGACTTGGGATATACTGCACAAGTTATATGAAAGTTTGTAAACAGATGTTTTGATATAGTTTTGCTGTTGTTACACGTGATCCCAAATCAATAATAAATAAATATGTTCAGCATTGTCCGTGGAGGCATGTGAGAAAAACTAAGTTTTCTTCACAAATTCAAGGTAACACGACATGACTAACTAATGTACAACTGGTCCTTTTGTGGGTGCAGTATTCCTTTTAAGGTTTTCACAATCAGAACTCATAAATAAAGAAATATTATAATCAAGATTAAAATTATCTCATGTATTTAATGGTTTGATTTCATGTTTGAGTTAAATACATCTCAATAACTTTGAAGTAGTGAGAACTAAAGTACATTATCAGATATTGATGTAGTTCATGGTACAGAAATCATGTGAGATACAGTTAAAAGAAAGTGACACATTTGGATTTGTCTCTTGCAGGACCATGGAGAACAGACAACAGAGAGTCAGGCTCGTCTCTGTTCAACTCTGATGGTAACTTTACTCCAAACCTTTTAAACCAAACATGTAGTCGTTATGGCATTTTCCTCTAGCGGTTTGTGTCACATTCCTAACATGTTTCTGTACTCTATCTAGACAACTATGAGTGGACCACATGGTTCAATGTTGATCACCCCGGAGGCCGTGGAGACTACGAGCAGCTGGAGGCCATTCGCTTCTACTACCGTGCCCGAGTGTGTGAGACTCCACGGGCAATCGAAGCCAGAACCACTGAATGGGTCCCAGCCCGAGAAACTGGGGAAACGGTCCATGCAGACCCATCTGTGGGCTTCTGGTGCCTCAATGAGGAGCAGGGTCCTGACCGCAACTGCTCCAACTATGCAGTCCGCTTCCTCTGCCCCAAAGGTTCCATGTCGTTACATCTTTAATATTCATTCAGTCACCAAAAGTTGGTCTTAGTGTAAAAGCAACACCATACAGTCTTGTACCTCAAAAGCCTGACTCTCTCTCTTGTTCTCTCTTTTCCGACAGATAACAGTGTGAACATTCAGGGTACCTGGGGTCCATGGTCAGACTGGAGCCCATGCCCTGCCCTCTGTGGTCAGGTGGGGGTCCAACTGCGCTCCAGAAACTGCCAGTCTCGCTCTGTGCCCTGCATTGGGCCTAAAGTTGAAGGGAAAGCATGCAATGGAGCAGAGTGCCCAATACCAGGTGAGCTGGCCCCTGTTTTGTCAGACAGACCCTTCTCCTTCAACTCTATTTATTCATCAGATCTGGGAGACCTTATTTTATTCTTCTCTTTAGATTGCTCCCTGCAGTGTGTAACGGGGAAGGTGAATGCTGAGTGTGACGCCTGCATGTGTGAAGACCACATCCTGCTGGGTTCTGTCCGTGGTGCCGGGGGCCTCACAGCTGAAGGGGCTACCATCCTTCGCTCAGGCAAACTCCTTACTCTTACCGACCACAATGGGCATTTCCGCATCCCTGGGGTCTGCCCTGACGGCAACACCACCCTGACGGTCAACCTGCAGGGTCATGCCACCCTTAGTGTTGTTGTGCCCCACAGTACTGAACGTACCTCTGTCCTCAGTGTCCAGCTGAAAAGAATAGGTAGAGTGGATGTCTACTGATTGCAGTCTACATTACCTTTGTAATCAAAAAGTTTATATTACCTTACCTACATACAGTTTATATGTAATTTTATCTCCAATTGTGATTTGCCAGAGAAGCTTCACGTGCTGAGCAACCCCGAAAGCAAGGTCCGGAGGGAGGGACAAACTGCTGCCTTCTGCTGCAAAGTGGCAGGAACACCCCAACCAGACAAGTACCAATGGTAGGACTTGGAACAGTAAACTCAAAGTCTGCAAATGTTACTGAGTCAAATAGATGCATCTGATGTCTGAATAATATAGTATATTCAGTGACTCTAATTTGTTTTCTTCTGTGTGAACCAACAGGTTTCATAACAACAGTCTCCTGGAGGAACACTCTGAGAGCACCTTAGTCCTAAAAAATCTGCGTCCTGAGCTGACTGGGGAGTACTACTGCAGAGCAAGTGGTCCCTCTGGGGCTATCAAGACCAAACCAGCTACACTCAAAGTCTTAGGTGTGTTCTCAATAAATTTCTTTACACATTTATTAAACAGTCTTTGTGAACACTGAGTAGACTACTGTATTCTACTTAAGAAAAAAATGTCAGTATGATCATATTAAAATCAACATTTTGATTTCTACATCTCTTACACAGGTAGAGATGAGCATTCATGTAATCCCAAACCTGAATCCCACCTCATCCGCCTTCCGCATGACTGCTACCAAAACAGTACAGACTCCTTCTACTACGATGTGGGCAAGTGCCCCTTGAGCACATGTGCTGGAAAGCTGGACAATGGCATCAGGTGCAAAGACAAAGTGGCTTACTGCTGTGGCGTCAAAAAGATGGAGGAGAAGCAGCTGACATGCCGGGGTTACCAATTGCCCACCATGGTGGTGACTGAGTGCGGCTGCCAGAAATGTGTGGACACCAAGGCCATCGTGCACGGTAGGGCCATTGCTGCAGACAATGGTGAGCCGATGAGGTTCGGCCACGTCTTTATGAACGGTGTCCGAATCAGCCGCACAGGCTACAAAGGAACATTCTCTATCCAGGTTCCTCCAGACACAGAGAGGCTAGTCCTGACTTTTGTGGACAACATGCAGAAATTCGTCAACACCACAAAGGTACTCCCATTTAACCCCAAAGGAGGGGCTGTTTACCATGAGATCAAACTACTGAGAAAGAAAGCTCCTGTGACCATTAGCCCAACAGAAACCAACACTCTGGAGCTTGGGGAGTTAGAGGGCCAGGAGTCAATGGTTCAGATCCAGATTCCTCCCAATTCCTTCTATACAGAAAAAGGAGAAGTCTTCACGGGTAACGTAAATGCCAGTGTAACGTTCCTTGACCCCAGAGATGTCTCCACAGCTGCTGCAGCTCAAAGTGATCTCAACTTTGTAGGAGATGAAGGAGATACCCTGCCGCTGAGAACCTACGGGATGTTCTCAGTTGACTTTAGGGGTGAGGAAAACAATGAGCCCCTGAACGCAGGTGAAGTGAAGGTGTTCCTGGACTCTGCCCAGGTGAAGATGTCCGAGCACCTCGACATCATGAAGCTGTGGTCACTGAACCCTGACACTGGCCTGTGGGAGGAGGAGGGAAGTCTGCAGGTGGAGAAGAAAAAAAGAGGCAAAAGGGAGGAGAGAACCTTTCTGATTGGTAACATGGAGATCAGAGAAAGACGTCTTTTTAACCTGGATGTCCCAGAGAACCGCAGGTGTTACGTGAAAGTGAGGGCTTTCCGCAGTGAACGCTTCATGCCCAGTGAGCAGGTGGAGGGAGTTGTGGTGAGTCTTATAAACATGGAGCCCACAGCTGGCTACTCCACTAACCCACGCGCTTGGGGCCGTTTTGATAGCGTCATCACCGGCTCCAATGGTGCCTGTCTTCCTGCCTTCTGCGATGAACAAAAAGCTGATGCCTACTCTGCCTATGTCATGGCCAACCTTGGAGGAGAGGAGCTGGAGGCTGTGTCTTCTGCTCCCAAACTCAATCCCAACCTCATTGGAGTGCCCCAGCCTTACCTGGGTAAGCTGAACTACAGGCGGACTGACCATGAGGACCCCAGAGTGAAGAAGACTGCATTCAGCATCAATGTGGCAAAACCAAGTCCCAACACAGCTGAGGAAAGCAACGGACCAGTGTACGCATTTGAGAACTTGAGAGACTGTGAGGAGGCCCCGTTCAGTGCGGCACACTTCCGCTTTTCAAGAGTAGAAGGTGACCGCTATGATTACAACACAGTGCCGTTTAATGAAGACGACCCAATGAGCTGGACAGAGGACTACCTGAGCTGGTGGCCCAAGCCCATGGAATACCGGGCCTGCTACATTAAAGTCAAAATCATCAGCCCACATGAGATCAATGTTCGGTCCCGCAACATGGGTGGCACCCACCCAAAGACAGTAGGCCAGCTGTATGGCCTCCGAGACACTCGCAGCATCCGTGACATGGACCAGGGAACTATTTCAGCTGTGTGCCTGGAGTTCAAGTGCAGTGGGATGCTGTATGATCAGGAGCGTGTCGACCGTACCCTGGTGAAGGTGATTCCACAAGGAAGCTGCAAGAGAGATCTCGTCAACACTATGCTTCAAGAGTATCTGGTCAACCACCTGCCCTTAGCCGTCAACAACGACACCAACGAGTTCACCATGCTGGCACCTCTTGACCCACTTGGCCATAACTACGGGATTTACACAGTGACAGACCAGGATCCCCGCACAGCCAAAGAGATCGCACTCGGACGTTGCTTTGACGGCACTTCTGATGGGACATCTCGTGTCATGAAGAGCAATGATGGTGTAGCGCTGACTTTCACCTGCGGAGATCATGAGGTGACACGCCAGAGCGTCTTCCAGGCCCTGCAGACTGCTCAAGGTCAAACATTAACGGGTGTGGTGAGAGAAGGCAGGCAGAACCGACGCCGGCAGAGGGCCAATGCACCCCGCAGCAGCCGCAGACGCAGCACCAGAAATCCAACAGGAAAACGTGCAACGGCCACAAGCTAAATGACAACGCCAAAGGTCGAAGTTCTACCTGGAGACCAAATTTACATCTGCAAAGGAGATGGCAGTGGAGACATCGACTTTATGTTCTCATACAAACATTTTTTTGACTTTTTGTTCACATACTAACCATAGGCCTATTTCTTGCAGATTCTTGTCAAGAACATTTGTTTTTCTCTTACATTTTAAACTCTACTGTGGTAAATATTTACTTGAAGTTGTAAATAGAGTATTTATTACATACCTTAAATAGTAATCAGGGTGCTGTTACTGCACAAGTTTCTTTCACTGATGATGTAAACAAGAACAGAAACACAACTTGTCCTTTTGACCAGTGATTTATTAAATTAGATGCTTATAAAACACTGCAGATGCTGTATCTTCCACATTATGTGTATCCAATTGTCCATGTAACATTGAAACTGGTCAATTGCTAGAAAAGAAAAGGAGAAATAAGCCCCTTTTAACTAACTGTAGCCCATATGAAGACATGGTGGGGTGAAGCCCATAAGCCCCCGCTCCTCATCACACTTGATACAAGCCTGCAGAAGCAATGATTAGGAGACCAGTCGTAGCAAGTTAATGCGCTTGCCTGATCCATACTTTTTCTGCATTAGTAGAAATCAAATTAGTAAATTACACTTTTGTCATGCACAAAAAATACCTATAAGTACTCTTTGCTCCACATTTTCAAGGATATTCCAGAGATGTATCAAGAGAATGGCTGTGAGGTTTTAAAGTCACATTTATTATACTTGTCTATCCCTTTTACCTTACAGTGAATGTCATGTGCTCTCTGTAAAATTACAACTACTACTTACATGTTGCATCAGTCTCAAAATCACCCACAATGCAACCTTTCCAGAGATAGATGAATAATGTAATGGATAATTGTTTTGAATTTGGCAACCGGAGTTATAGATACTATATACTTGCCTGTAAGAGAACCATCCACAGGTAAGTGAGACCTATAATATATACATGACATTCTGGTTAAAGAATTTGCATAGAACCTTGTTGTTTCTATGTCACTTCACTTGTAACTGCAATAATGTATCCGCCATTTTGACAGGAGCAACATCTAATAAACGAGCCCCGCAAAACTCAGACAACAGCAGTTACAATGTATTCTCCATTGAAGCTGGGTTACCCAACAGATAATACATGATGATGTGTGTGTGTGTGAGAGTCGAGGCTGAATGAGACAGAAAAGGCAATTCCATATGTATGAACATAAAGAGTTGGTGAGACTGGATGCTCCCTGGTATAGTCCCTCTGGTCATTGAAGCAAAATGAAGGGGGCAACACATAGTTCAGATTTTCCAGGATGGCACTGGACAGCATGAGAAGGTACAGCTGCATTTCTGAGGGATGGGAGAGGGAAAGGGCAGTGGTGATGGAGCCAGTGTCACATGAAGTCCTCATAGTCTTGGGCGTAGCCACCATCAAACTCTGCATAGTCAAGGTCGTCTCTCAGCTGTGCTTTCAATCCGCCTCCAGGTACAACCCCTTTCTTCTTCTTCTTTCCTTTGTTTTGCTGTGAAGGCAAATAAAGGTCACTTTAAAATGCATACTTGATATGACCACACGTGCAGCTGTCTCATTCAGTCTGATTCAAATGTGCAACAAACTAAATCAATTTAGCAGGTAAAGTTACATATTACACCTGACTTAACAAATAAATATGACTGTTAGATTTATTATATAAACCACATGAATGTTCACAAACAAACTACCAGAGTACAGTTGATTTATACTATGAGCACACATCAGGTGACTGTGCTAAGTGAACAGCACCCCCTTCTAAATGTAAACTACAGATCAAAATGTATCAGAAAATACTGTATCTGCAATCACTTACTTTTTCTTGTTTCTGTTTTTCACTAAGTAGGACTGACAGGGAATTACTGACTTTCTTCAAGTCATCTACTTCCACTGTAAGAGAGAAAACGAAAATTATGCTTACTTTCATTAAATGTTAGGAGCGGATAAGTAATATTCAAAAAAAATAACTAAGAGATGCTGTGCTTACATGAAATACAGAGTTCCCGAAACAATGAATCCAAGAAACTTGAATAATGCACAGATTTTTCAAACTGGGATATCTTTTCTTTCAGCAATTTTTCAAACTCTGTGAAGTCTTCTTTGGAAGATGGACACATGGCATCGATTCCAGTGACACTGTTTGAAGTGCTGCTGACACCTGAAACAAGATAAAAAAAAAAATACAGTATGAGGGCATACAGAGTCAGATACAAAGCTGTACTTGTATATGGAGTTATATTGGGCCTCCAAGTGTGGTACTAGTGTTAAAACCAGCGCTCAAGAGTGTAAAGCTGGGCTGGATTTTGAGGGTGCTGAGATGACAGTAGCAACTGCCAAAATATTTTTGTAGTCTTTTAGAAACACCGTCACCATGGACACTTTATTTACAGCCGACATTTCGACTTGTCACAGTAGGAAAAGCACAGGTTTAACTAGTAACATTAACTATTCAAGTAAGACAGTTAGTGATAGTGAGCCAGCATGCACAATACCAGGTCCCTGAAATCAAAGCAGCAAAATGGAATTCAGCCATCATTCATTTTGTTATTTACACCTGTGTTTTTCCTACTGTGACAAGTCAAAATATCTTCTGTGAAACAGGCCTATTATATAGTCTGTCTAAAAGACATAACCAGTGTATATCTTGTTCACAAGTCTTGAAAAAATGAGCAGCTGATGAATCATTATCAGATGTTTTTAACTCCCAAATATCATTATCAGTTTCAAAGTCCAGTATCAGTGTTATTTTTGGAGGCCCTGAACACAACCTGAGTCTACATACATGACACAGCTGAACACCAGTATATGAGCAAATTCTGATGTAAAAAGTGAAAGCAACCAAGAAAGCAACGGAATAAAGACAATCAAAGCCCAAATGAAACATTATGAATATAAATTACACAAAATAACCTTTTGTTTATCAATTTGTAATGCTGCGTTACCTTGAATCTCTGAATGAAGCTTTGTCTCACATGCCTCTGCTGAAAACAGCCAATATATTGATGCATAGATTCTTTCAGGACCTCATTTAAGAATAGCATCACTATATTAAAACTAGGGATGGGCAACACAAGCAAAAATACTATTCAAAAATCGTAGCAACTATTTGACAATTTTTCGAATAATCGCACTCCATAATATATAATATAATATATATAATAATAATATAATATAATTCAATTATTATTTATCCAGCTGTATGCTTAGTACATCCTAAAAATTCATTTTGCTGAGACCTTAAAATTTAAGACTTAACTGAAAATAAAACTTGACTATGCTCTCTTCAAAGCCAGACTCCATAGTAAGGTTCTTTTGCAGGTGTAATCCAAGTCTCATTTATCCAGTCGTATGCTCAGTACTTCCCAAACACATGCATTTTCATTAAAATAACCTTACAATTGGAGTCTGGCTTTGAACAGAGGACAGGTAAGTTAGTCTTTGTTTAGTTTGAAATAGTAAGGTTTCAGCAAAATGCATGCAAAGAACTGAGCATACAAATGGTCACTTTGTGGGTGAAGTATTACTTTAAAAAGTTATGCAGAAGTTATATAGTTTCATTTATACAAAAAGGGAAGTAGTGTGAATTGTGGAAGATTATTAAACTGTTACTATAAAAAAGACTAGATGATTTTGTTAATCATGTCTTACCAAAAGCATCTTTTGCTAGCTCCAAGTCTGCGTCCTCCTGTAATTTCTTCACTCTTATCTTCTCTGCGAGTTGTTCTTCAGGAGTGAGCTCTTCTTGCTGTAATGACACGTCACAAAGCCAAATTGAAAACATTATTAGAGACAACAGAGAGGAGGACAGTTTGAGAGTTATAGAATAGTTGTATAGAATGATTAAAGTCAGAAAAAACACTCACATTGCTCTGCATCTCTTTCTCCTTCAGCTCCTGTTGTTTTTTCTTTAACCGGTTTTCTTTCTCTTTGATCTTCTCACTCAACTTTTTCTTTTCAGAAACCTTTGTCTCTGAAATTTAAAAAAGAAAAAGAAAAACACGTGAACTTGCAGTAACAGCAGATCACTTTGCCACTTACTAACATACAATATATTGTATTCTTGTGAAACAGGATATACATATGTACCCATTTTTTTTATCTCTGCCTTTTTCTCTTCATCTTCTTCATCATCATCCCAGTTATCCTGTGAATAAAAAAGTGGGATAGTTCCCATGTTATTATACAGGTTACACAGGCAAACTTTGTAAAACAAAACATGAATTGAGACAAATATAAAAATTAATGCTACAAATAAATTTTACATCATAAATTGAATAATAAACATAATACACACAAATGCATGCTTACACAAATCAGATAAATGACAGAAAAAATCCTTTTAAACATCCCTAAAATTTTACAAATAGACATATCTGCGCAAAAAATAAAAAATAAAATACAATAAGAAAATTTTAAAAAACAAATAAACAAAAAGCACACACGCTGTTCTAATAATAAAGTACTGAATAAGCCTTTAGACTAGGGCTGTCAAAACTGGCCAGAAATGAAGTTCCATTACTCCTTAAAAAAGTAAAAAAAAAAAAAAAAACAACAACAAAAAACAAAAAAAAAACAAATGCCGGCATGTTTGAACCATTCAAATACCTATTTCTGCACATTATGTCAGTACAAACCAATACAACCACTTGTATACAGTGTTCCTAAAGCTTAAAGTATGTTAAATTTAGTTTCTCAGTGCCACTTGGTAAGAAATTCTAGACAAATTTTACAATAACCAAATTAAAGGAAAAACAAAAACGAAACAAACTAACAAACAAAATACGCTGAGATCAATCACTTAGGGTGAGGGATAGTTTTATCCAAAACCTTTTGTGGCATGGCAGAGACAAGGGTAGAACTTAACTGGGAATTAAGTGGTGTTAGCTGGCAAGTTTTCTTGGCAATTTGAGTTTCACACTCTGCATGTGAGGTTCCACTACCTTAACTCCCATTGTGCTAAGATTAAAAAACTTTCTATGTAAAAAACACTGAGCCTCATATGCACTGCCTAATATAGGTTGCTCTGAGCATCCCAGCTGGAAGCAAAATATAGGCTAAGTGTTTCTGGTTCCACTATTCTCATCTGCATGACATTAATGCAAAAGGCCTTTGGTAAAATATTTATGTTATTTTGAAATTTTATGATGCAAGGTCAGTAAAAGAAAAATTCGCAAAATCATATTTCCTGTGTCTTAGCATTTTTAAGACTTTAAGGATTGATTAAAGACATTTTTACACCAATTAATGCCTTATTTTTAAATTAATGAAGCCAATGCCTTTTATGACTTGAAGGATCTGGGGGAACCCTGTGTATAGGTTTATTTATTTCAACATAAACATGTCCTATGAAGATACATTTTGCCCATTTTTACCTTGCTCTGTATCATTGTAGCATGTGTTGCACCTCCACTGGCAAATGATACCTATACATTATAAAATAAACCAATAAAATTTTATATTATACTGTAGAGAGAGCTCTCTCATAGGCCCACGCTTGGGGGGTGCTGCTTTTTCTTTTTCACAATTCTGTTTTTAAACAATTCAATTATATAATTGAATTTAGAATATTCAGTGATGGCCCTAGTTAAGGCAGGTTCACACCCTAAATCAATTCAACTACACAACAACAGGTACAGTCTCTAGACATCGAAACAAGAAAAGTAGGCAGTGCTGGGTGAGTTTAGGTCCATCAAGACCAATAGAGACCTTGATACAGAAGATGGGCAATAATTCAATATGTTCGTTTAACAAATTTCAGGGAAATGTGGTTGTTATATAACTGTATTGCTCTACAATTTTTGTTGTCAAATGAATGGATCTCAGCAAGCTGTAATTAAAAACTATCACAATCTAATACATTTAAAGAACTTCGTCATGTAATACTACATCAAAACATCTATATGGTTATTTCATAGCCGATTTTGTGTCATCTTCCATATTGTGATAAGATAATATAGACGATGAGACGGTTACCAGCCCTACTTGACACTCTCTCAGAGTAGCGCTGCTAGTGCTGGGGACTGATGCAACAACCAAGTTCAAACATGCATGTGAATGTCTGG